TTTTTCATTTGAATAACAGGTGCATCAAAGAATAATGATTGCATTACTTGGTCTTGAGCAATATTCTTTCAGTAAAATCTATCGACCAAGACGAGGTTGAAAACATAACAAAGCTCCGAACACAATGAGCTCGACGACATACGTCACAGGGACGAAGGGCCTCCTCATATCCGAGAAAATCTAATGACTACCGCTCCAACTCATGGGTAATTTTTTTGTTGTTCTCACTGTGTTGCAATGTCCCAAAGTGAAAGCGCCACTAAGGATTAGTGTCACGGACAATGGTCAAAAGCCAAAGAGGGCTATTTAATGATTTCCTGATTGTTTAGATGAGTATTTGAGGACCTGAACCGTCCATAAACTTGGAAACATGCCTACAACCTTCCAGCTCTAGCACTAGATAACACTAGAAGCACCACATCACTACTGTTCCATTACCTATCTCGAATAAGTAATTTGGTCAATGGTCATAAAACTTTTCGTGACAGACAAGAGGATAGAAACAATCGTACCTTCCCCTGTGAAAATGCGCCTTTTTTGTGCAAACTTCGGACACCAGTATCGCCCTTATTCCCAAAGATGTTTATGTACACATTCGAGTCCAAGTATTTGTTTGATTTCTCCCCAGTCTCCACAGTCACTCTGTAGTGGCGAACTAACATGTGTAAAAAATAAGATTATTTCATACATTTCATTACTACATTAAGTGCTTCCAGCATTTGTAACTAATTCCAAATTTGATTAAAGTCTACAAAAACATCTTTTTTTATTTCATGGCCAAAATAGTTCAATTTTGCTCAACGCAGGCCTGCAAATTCTCTTTTACACTGTAAAAAGATTGTATCATATTTTAAAACAAACCTTTTTTTCTTACCCCTTTTTAAACCGAGTTTCAGTAATGGTTATCAAAGCCAGTTTTTGAACCCAACGGGTGGGGCACAATATTAGACGATGACTTACAAAGCTAGCCTGTCGAGGGCTGTTTACATGCATGCATTGTTAGAATTAAGCTCAAAAATAAAATGGGTTGACGCATGAATTAAAGTTGTGGACCTGTTTTTCGCTGTTTCAGATTACGCTAAACTCTGTTATGTTTTATTTTGCGGAATATTTTTCCTTTTGATTAGGCTATTTTATTTGTAGTTCAGGAAATCAGCCAACAAGAAAGTCTCCAATGGTAACACCTTGACCGAAAATTTACCTTCCTGTGGGGATTTTGATAAGAGCTCTAACCTTACCCGATGCAGGCTGAGTAATATCGGACCCAAATGCTGGCATTTCGTATACAGGTAAGCTTCTGGGATCCTCCAAATTCAACCACTTGTCACAGGTGAAAAAGTACGTCTTTCCGGTTGGGAGATGTTGTAAAATAATCTAAAAAGTGGTAAATTGTGCATTAGTGACTAGCACTATTGACAAAGCTTTAAGTAGACGTTACCTTTTCAGGGCGCCAGTTTGGCGAATGACCAGTGCCGTCGTGTCTGATGCGCATTTTGTATGGAATGCCAATGTAGGGCAAGTTCAGTTTGAAAATATTGCATGAACCCTGTTCGAAGAGGACACTTTTGTCGGAAGAGAGAATCTCATTTAGCCAGATTTCATCGGTTCTTCCTTGGTCCCCGTAAAGCGTCGCATAGACACGGGCTGATGTACCCGCTCCAACTGTTTTGCTTGTGCATACCTCAACTTGCCAATTTGCATCTAAAATCGTCAAAAAAATCTATTGGTACTAATTTATACGTTAAGATGAGACAGTTTGTGCTGATTATTAGTGCTAACGCGAGTAGATGTCACATCGGAAAAGCATTCGAATTTCCCATAGTATGACTATCTGCCACTCAACCAGGATTTTTAGCCATGATGACTGTTTCATTAAAAGAGTTTAGTAAAAAAGCAATCCTCTAACCTAGAAATTGTTTCAGCTTGACAAAGTACTGTTTACAAACCCACATTTATGAAACCTTCATCACAACTTTAGGGCAGACACCATTCGTTATCCCAATCCGACTCCAATTTGTGTATTTTAATAAATTGCTTTGTGTGAAATTACCTGTTATCTTTTTCGACGGCAGAACAGTGTATTGCGGTCCGACGATTTTTCTCCTCAATTTATTATCATAAAAGGGAAACCACTTTTTGCACCAAAATGTCTGAGTAATTCCAGTGTTCAAGGACTTTAGTTGGACCTAAAGGCCAGAAAAAAGTTATTCTTGTTAGAAAATGAATTTAAATGTAATTTAAGGAATTAACCAAAGATAAACCTTTTCAAGTAGCCAGTCAGCTGCCTCGATGGGAGCGTCATGTCCCAGAGCGAGTTTGGAACTTGGTGAAAGACGTTGACACCCATCAATTTTGAAAGTAACCAAGGTCTTTCCATTAGTGTTTATCTGTTCACCAGGAATACAGATTATGGGTGAGCATTGCTTATGAGGTGGAGCAAAATCACCCATTCGAAGTGAATAGCTAAAGGTTTCTACATTGAAGTGCTTCACTTTGGGTCCAAAAAGTCGAAAGTAGACATCCGTTGGCTTCCCTTGATCATTTTTTGCCTTAGAAATTAGTGTCATTTCAAACTGTTGATCTAAAAGAAAATTAACACAAAGTAAAGGATTGGTAAATCAAGCATGATTACTGTTACATCCTTCTACATGATTTTCGAATTGTGCAAGCCACACTCCTGTTCCATCAAGCAATCAAAAAGGCTTTCCACAGGGGAGATAACCATGACCTAACTCTTTGTAAAGATAATAAGCCCACGTTGCTTGACGTCCATTTATGAGGGATGAATTATCAAATGGGTAAAATTTCACCTCTGGAATTACAATCTTTTGCTACACTTAGTATTGGTAAAAAATAAAGAATCATCCAATTTACGTGCAATCGTGGGAGTTAGTGTTCTTGAGCGAGACACCAACAGATGTCGGGAAATTGTAGCGCCGTCTGTCTCAGGAATTAACCATTGTCCACAAGGAAAGGTGTAAACCCTTTTAGTGGTAATATCCTCTACAACTACCTACAACAGATTATCAACCGTTGCAAAAAATTAGAAGCAATTAGGGTGAATGGTACTTTAATGAACTACAAATTCTTAATTAAAATTTTTCACTGTGCATGTATGCGTGTGCCAGTGTGAATGAATTAAGGGTAGTAAAATTGAATTTCATCGTTTTCATGGAAGCTTACGCTCTCCCCAGGTGCGTACTGGGGCAAACGCACCATTATTTCTCCTTGTCTGTATTGGTGTCAGTGATGACTCAAAGTATGTTACCTTTCTGATCTACTAACAATATTCAGACCCAAAAAATTAAATCAACATTTCTCTTTCAAACTATTTGTATTTAACAATGCCTACTCAAATAGTAAGTACAAGTAGATAAACTATCAGCAAATGTCCTTGAAACCCTATTTCTAAGAACTATTCTTTCATTACTTTCTTCTTGAAAGCACTTGAAGGTGTTCAAGACACCTCTACTATGAGCAAGTAAGTGGAGCAACAATTTCGGCTCCACTCTGATTTACTCACTGCTGGAGATAATTTGTGTGATTTCTGTAACTGTGAGAAAGTTTCATTAACCACCATATTTTTACACCAAGCGAATTCATATATTACCACAATACTTATTATGAAGGCAAATTTTTCTTTGATTATTAATTCATTTGAAAATCTTGTCTTTCTCTTTTTGCAATCGGCACGTGGCAATAAAGGTAAGAAGAACAGGACTTCATGCGCATACCTAGGCTTTTAACAGCAGTGATGCTAGATTAACCGTTTCATGAAGGTGTTTTTATGCTACTGCTTTTCATCATTATGTCTATAACAGATTGTTATACGACTTGACACTTGGCATACGAACGAGTTATGCGTAGTCACTACGATGTGCTTTTTACATCACCATAGCTTGACGCTTCTAATATCTACGACAGAATTATTTTCCAGAAGTTTCCTTATCTTCTATGCTATTTGTTGTTGCAGCTTCAAGGTTGATCTAGTGAGTTCAAAGCTCACAAGAGTAAAGTTATCCGCGAATGTAAAGCAAGTTATCAAAACGAGATTCACAGTATAGGGGAGAATGTATAAAAATTCTACTATTTAGTATTCATCTAGTTTTCACGAGCCAGTAATATACCTGAAGAAATCATGAGAATAAACGCGAAAATGAAGAAATAGATCAGTTGTTTTAGAAATTTACTTCGTCATTTTGATTCACAGCCAAAGTTTTATTACTTTTATCTTCCTATTTCAAACAATCTTACCAACCTTTTCAAGTAGCCATCCAGGTGAGCTGCCCTTGGCTTCCAGACCCACTTTGACCTTGATCAAATCACCCAGTCGCTGATTAGTTTTTAGCTTAAATTGAGTAGTTGATCCGTCAACTCCAAACTGATGTGGTTGACTGTTAAACCACCTCTCACGGTCAAAACCCTCTCTACCGTAGAGCTTCAAAAAGACATCCGACGTTGTGCCAGCACCGCGGAATTCCGATGTATAAAAAGTCACATGGTATTCGTAATCTTAAAACAAAAATAAGTCACAATAAGAGGACCTATTAGGCTAAATACAATCCCACTTTATGCTCCGAGACAATAACACCTAACTAATCCTTTTTGGCTCAAAGAAAAGAAGTTTTAAGCTCGCGAAAATCGTTAGTACCCAGCATTTTAACGATGCTTTGGACCTAATTTTGCCTGCCAACTTAACGCGTGGGTGGGACGCCATTTTATTGTCTTGATTCAAAAGTATTTCAACATTTCATCGAAAAATGACAGTCAAGTTAGCAAGAGTCAGTAACAACTTTTCAATTAGTAACCACAATCCATAATGTAAAGTTAAGTAAATAGTCGATATTCTTGATCTACTATGAAACTTAAAACCTGTAAACGAAGGACAATTTCATGATTTACTCAGCAGTGGTGAATTTAATTTGCAATAAGCGCTCAATTTACTTGACACTGACTAGAGCGATATGCATTTAATCAGTGTCATGACCATGCTATCTTGGTGCACCACGCAAAAATCAAAAGCGATAAGGCACGCATAATTATGTGTGTGGTCCTGTTGATAGAATTTGCTTTGACTAGTGTACTTCTTGAAACCATTTACCCGTGGGTGAAAATAGCAAAGTTGCGAGGCTGCTACTTGATTTTAAGAGTGACAAATTTTGGTACTGACCACTTTGAACATGAGGCACCTGTCTTCTGATGATCTGAGAGCTGTCGACATTATTCGTATTGGGAAGGGAAATCCAATCGTTGCAGTTGAACAGGTAACAGCGATGGGGTCGAGAGGGATCCTCCACGATAATGCGCTTCAGGAACCAGCCTGACTTGGAACCGCTAGCATCACGAGAGACACGAACGTGGGAGATGTCTCCAAGACTGGCAGTGCGAATGATGAACTTAGAGACGGAGCCAGAACTAAAGAGATCCCGCCGATCCGGTGAGGTCAATTTGAATTGGGGACTCTCGCCATACTCGCCAAACAGTACAATAAACACTCGACTGTCGGTACCAGCCCCATCAAAGTCTCCGGTTGCTACAGTGATCCGATAATCTGCAAAAGAATCATTACCATTGTGACAAAAATATTTTAACCCTGAGGTTGAGAGGGGTAATTTTGACTTCTGAATGTATATGGGCAGAGTGAGCTGATTGTATGAGTAAGCACCCACCTGTCAACTTCACGCGCATGCCTTGAAAATCGTAAACTGTTAAGCGTTCGCCTTTAAGGTGCGAAAGCCACTTCCCGATCGGAAAAAGCCACGTTCTGTTAGTGCTGAGGTGGGTAATCTGTACACTTGAGAGCAATAACCCATCCTCAGGTTTTGTACCTTTGTTCTGCAAGTGCAGACAAATTTGCTTATTTAAAAACAGTTGTATTTGTCTACCAGATTTATATTTAGATTATTTGCGCATCGGTGCGTTATGCTGTGCAGCTGCAAAAAGTTGAATATTGTGGAAGTATAGTTTAATAACGAATCCTACGACTAAAAACAGGCTTTATAATCCGTCAAGCAATATCACTAAAGCCTTAAAATACCTCTAGCAATATCCGCGATAGCTCCCCAACATCTCTGCACTTCACTTGCAATTCACTTGTGGTGCATCGCTTAAGACGAATTCCACTGGATATGTGGTTGAGTAAAATAGTCTGAGAGATTCCTTTGTCTCCTTTCAAACGAAGGCAAATCTAAACAAATTATTCGCAAATCTAATAACAACCAAAGAGAAAGTGACGAGTCAGCTAATGTCACAAGTACAAAAAACAGGATTGGAAAGTTGTAATTTATAGTCAGCCAAATTTTCATAAAATAGAAAGCTTTTCAAAAAGTCAGCTTTCTAAAAATGTATGCAGTATAGACTAAAGACTTAGCTCAAGAATCCACAACATGTGCATTCTTTTTAAATCCTAGGGTAAGCATTAAATATATCTGTCTGTCTGGCTATCCACTATCCATCCATCTGTCTCTTACCAAAGAAGAGGTTCCAGCATTTTTCTCGCTTGAAACAGTGACAATTATGTTGTAAGTTGTAAAACTGCGTTCAGTTTCAGTGGCATTTCCACGATGATTAGAAGACTTCGAATAATTAGCATTGCGTGAGTAATGTTTGCTTGGCCTCGTTTGCAAGGTTTCGCTTAAAATGTTTCCAAAAGCCTGTCAAAAACTTAGAAAATGGAACACTTACTTGTTTCGAGTGAAAAAGATAGAGATCCTCAGAGCTACCACTCGAAAAAATGCAATCTATATAGCATTAATGTTCGAAAAAAGGCTGCTCACTGCTGCTTTTGAGAGATTCGGCGGTTTCGTGAGTCCTAGTATATGGTTTAGGATCATTAATATGAATAATTGGAACATTGAAATGAGGACGACCCAGATCAGAATCCATTACGAAACATAAGCCACGATTTCTCGCGCTTAACCTTCAGGGGGTAAAATAGTGAAATTAAACTGACTCATGCAATACAAGTTATATTATTTTACTCAAATTCGTACAGCTATATGACTAACAAATTTTTTGTTGATCATAGAAGGGACTGTTATACTGCTGCATCTTTTTATGTCGCATTTTAGCGTATTGTGGATGCTGCTATCCACAATTCAAGGCATCTACCTTAAAGCAAAAGTCATGTTAGATTTAAATTTAGGAAGCTACAAGGTATACTTTGGTTGCTTATTAGTGCGTCGAATAATTTGTTAAGCTATTTCCAAACATTGATATTGCTGTGCTTTTATATCAGCGAAGAATCTAAGTGGTAGTCGTAAGCTGTTAATAAAGAGCTGACGGCCTTTTGTCCTTCTTGCATTGCTTTCAAAATGTTAAATTTTAATCCTAATCCCCTATTGCAATTTGTGACAAAACTTTTTACATTGATATTAACTTACTGTATTAAATAAATAAAATATTCTTAGCTGCTCGTTTAAAGGTAAATCTCTGCTTCATTACTCCTTTATCTCGTTAAGTTACATTGTGGTGCTAATCTTACATGATAGGATGATTCTGACTATAGTTACACCCCGTGAATCATACTTTCCTTAAGCCAGTGCTTTGTGTTTCTTTTTCATTCTTTATCATTTTTCTAAATATGCTTCGTTTAACCGGTAAAAGTATGGTGTTTAAAATGCTTTCGTCCTTGTGCCGCATTTAGCGCGTTGGGTGTTTCTCGGCATGTCCGTGAGGCTAAAATCTGGGTAGTGAGAGTTACTGTTTTTCATTGTCTTAGTTTCCAGTTGAAGTCACGCTTCAGTCCTTATTTTTCTGACCCAAATCCCATATTTGTAAGTTCAGTCCTTGTTTCATCTTTTGAGCTCTGTGACGATGGTGTCATGCTTTGTGGCCGGGATGAAGATGCCCGAATCAGATTATTCACCAGTCATCTTGGAAGAAATGAATTTGGGGATTGCGATGGATTAAATGACGAAATCACTGCCTATGTGGCTAATCCTAACGATAATGTAGTCTCCTCTCTTAATGTACACTTTTAGACTGTATTTCTTGCTACAAAAAGTCTATTCTTGGCTCGATACGATAGATGTGAGCACAAAGTGTTATCGCGATGGAATGTATGTGCCATTTGACATATTTATTGTGTCAGTCTTCCCACTCCAGAACTATTGGAGTAATAGCTTTGAACGCGACCGCCACTCGACTTGCAACTGGTTCCAATGATTGTTCCATCCGTATTTGGCATATTGGTAATTGCGAGGGATTTGTAGCGAGCTGCAGGTGTCACACTTCCAAAATTACGTATGTTTTCATCATGTAGTTTATGGGATTTATGTCTTGAATGCCATTGATGGTATTCGACTGTAATTTAGCTTGCTTCGTTTTCATCCGACCGAACCATTATTAATGTCTTGTTCACTTGGTGAAGTTGATGTGGTTGTTTGGAACACAGAGACAGGGGCGAAGGTGGCTACCTTGCAAGGACATCAGGGAAACGTTACTGATATTGCATTTTCGCCATTGGATGAACAATTTACGACGTATCTCCCTTCTCGATCTTTCTTATAACGGCATACTTTTAGGTGTGGCCACGACAAGGTGATTATTGTTTGGTCTACTAAAACCATGAAACGTGTCAAAGTCATACCCGCATTTGAGGTGGGTCATTACGTCACACCTAACCTTCCACTAGAGTCTTCAAGCCATGGTCTATCTCCCAGTTGGCTCGTTAAGGGACCGCATCTCTTCAAATGCAAATGAAGGTAAAAGTTATCTCATTACTGGTGGTCAGTGGGGTATCATGCGTTTGTGGTGCACGTGGACCTCCCGCTGCGTTTTGGAAGTCCGTGGACCCACTAGCCACTCGTCTGATTCAGCTGCTGCAAGTAATCTAGACTTTGGTCTCCATTCTGTGTCGCATCTTTCACTTTTTCATGTCTCTGCCTTTCCGGACAACCCTTACATCCTTGTGCTTTCTCGAAGGAGCAGCCACGTTGAATTTTACAATGCGGAGACATTGAAGCTTTTTTATGAAGTTAGTAGCTCTTTTTTCTTGTTTAGTTTACTGAAAGTTTCGACTCTACTATGCTGGCGTTCCTTCAGTTTATTGGGGAAATAGGATCAGTGGATCAACTATGTCTAATGGGTGCCGCAAGGAATCGTCTAGTCCTGACAGACGTCTCCCCGAACCTTAAACTCTTCTCCAATCCACCCAGCTCCACTTCTTCAAGTGGTTCCTGGTCGTGTCAGTTAGTGCAAAGCCCACACACGGGTGTGATCGGGGACATGGCTGTCTCAAGTTGTGGTTTATGGCTCCTCACTGGAGGCCATGACCAAACGCTTTGTCTGTGGCAGCTCGTTGAACCAGAGGAGTCGGCAGGAAGGCTACGGCTCCTATCGAAGGCGTGCACCAAAGAAGCTCATGATGCCCACATCTCTGCTGTCTGTTTTGCTAGGTCTGTTAGTCTGCTTTTTATCTTTGGTATTATTACGACCCGGCCACTTTTCTATTCCACTGATCCTTCCTATTTGTGGTTCGCATACTAGTGTCTCATTTGTTATTCGATGCATACTATAGTTTGTTTGACGCGCTTAAAAAAACTATCATTAGGCAAAACTTCAATGGGTTTATTCTCGTAACAACTTTCAGTATTATTTGAAACGCCATAATTTACCCAAAAATTACGAATTTTAGTTCAGCCTCTATCGTCCCCAGTCTCCTTTTAAGTGTTGCTAAATTATACAGGAAAGTACGTTCTACGAAATCCAATGAGTACGCGTTGTTAGATACCCACTTTTAAAAATTGTCAAATCACTACTACTATTTCTTAGGCTGTAAAAAGTGCTGCTTATAAACTAACCCTTCTGCTGTGAATCTAGGCAAATTTGTCGTCCCTATTAGTATGAGCGACTGCTACTTTTTCGTGCACAGAGATTCTTCAGCGGTGTTTTCAGCCTCCACAGATGGTGTTCTCAAAACCTGGGAGCTTAATCTGGGGGTTGTTGATAAGCCAGACGAAAAAACCAATGTGTTCGAGGAGGGTCGTTCAGTTCGAAATGCACATGATGGAGCTATCAACTGCGTTCATGTCTCCAGCAATGGGCGATTCTTGGCTACCGGCTCTCGAGATAAAACTGCCAAGGTGTGCGTCACTACAGGCTTTTAAACCCCTTCCTTTGATGGTTACTGAATTGGTTTTTATTAATACTTCATTTAGATATGGTCTTTGGACCTTTTGCTCGCCGGGAAAGATATGCAACCGAAATTGATTGGTTCACTGATTGGCCACAGACGAGGTGTCTGGTCTGTCCGTTTCTCTGATCACGAACGAGTATGCTCGTGTTAAATTCTTTCTCGCCTCTGCATGTTTTTTTTTTATAATTTCTGTTTCTGACTAGGTTCTTCTCACGGCTTCTGGTGACAAGGATCTGCGTCTATGGAATCTCAAAGATATGACCTGCATCCATGTGGGTTGTGCCTAAACGCATCCCATTGATGTTAAAAGCAGTATTAGGTAAAAGTGTACGCTTTTTCTTTTGCTTAGACCTTCGAGGGCCACGAAGAGCCTGTCTACCGCGCTGAATTTATCTCAAAGGGTCGGCAGATTCTTTCCTGGTAGGCTTTACATTTCAATAACTTCCTGATAAAGAGACGAGGTTTTGAGCGACGTTACGGATTATTAGCAGTTGGAAAATGAAGTAATAGTGCTCACCAAGAAGTCGTTTGAGCAATTCTTAAATGTTTTCTTTTTGGGGCAAGCAAAAGACAACGCATTAGCTTCTGACTACCTTCTAGTGACCAAAGAGGCCTTGTACGATTGTGGAATCTTTCCAAGAAGAATAATACTTCTGCCGTCTCGTATGACAAAATTTCGCCAAATGTGGTGGAAGCACATCAAGGACGCATTTGGACGATCGCCGTCTGTCCGGACAATGGTGGCTTCTATACGGGTGGTGAGGATGCCACTATTTGTTTCTTCGAAGTTAGTGTCGTTGAATCCACTATCAATGAAAATAGCGGTCGTATGGTGCGAGGTATTAATGCTGCTTCTTTTGTAGGACAAAAGTGAAGATAGTGCTCGGGAAAGTGCTGCGACTGTTGAGGAATTCATTAGAACGTGAGCAGCCTACTTTGGTTGCACAAGTTTCCTGATGAGCAGTTTGTTCTATTATGCTGGTTTTTCTTCCTAGGCATCAAGAATTGGAAAATCTGCTCAAGAGTAAGAAGCATAGGAGAGCTTTGCGTCTTGCTGTGAAACTGGACAAGCCTCAACGAACCTTCGAAATTCTGCAGGGTATGTTTTGTTCATTATGCCTTTTGAATCCTTGAAATTCTTATGACAATGTCTTCACTTCATTTTTTCATTCTACTTCATTCATTTTTCATTTGATTCAGTTCTTCAAATCAATTTATTCGTCTCGATTGTTGTGGGGCATTTTAAATGACACAACTTCGCTATTACCATAAAGTTTGGGGTCTATTCACTGCATCTGCTACAGCTGCATTCAGCTCATCGTCATAAACTCGATTTAGAGTTCATAACTTCCTAGGCTAAAATCACTAGAAGAAAACCTTTCATGTTAGTAATCGACGTCTATTGGCCACATCCTCATTATCCCAACACTTCATAGATGTTTCGAGCTTCTGAAAAGGAAATTTAAGAGGAATCTGTGGTTTAGCGTAAGCGTTTTAGTCATATGCCCCTGAAGTAGTCGTGGTGTCTCCTCTGTTGTTCAACTAAATCATATCCTTTCTTCAACTTAGAGCTCAGGTAAGGGGAAATTTCAAGATGTTGAAACTGCTTATTTTCCATTTCATTTAATTGCAATATTTATATTACTTGGCGTATACAGAAAGTGTTGTCACAGGGGGGTTTCTCATCATGACTAAACCATCTTAGGATAGCCTGTCTGCTTTGGCTCCTACGCACGTGTACTTTTTTAAATACAAACGTGCCTAACGTCCCCCGTTTTTACAGTTATATGACGTGTTATGTTTTGGCCGGTGCTCGGAATGAGGTGTTCGATGCGCCGGATGTTTACACAAGTGACTGCCGCGCTGTGAGCAACTGAGCTCACCAGCGATAGATGTACGATCGTTTTTGAAATGTCTTCATAAGCATCCGATCCCTTCTGTAGGTGTAAGTAGATATCCACGGAATCGGATTCTGGGGCTTGGTTTAAATGAAACTTCATTTATCAATACACACTGTTGTATGCACTTCCAATATGGCAGTTACAGCCACAGCATTTGCGGTGATTGTCAGTGTACCATTGCGTTAACATTGTTTTGTATACCCGTAAAATCGGAGGTTCTAGTTTGACCCGAATTGCTTGAATAGAGTGCTCATTATGTCTTTGAAGCTGAAACCTCTATAGTTTTTATTAAGGCCTTGTTTCGCTAGTCACGCATCACTAAATGAGTTGCTTGATGTCAAGGAAAGGGAACTTCAAATGCCCTCTCCTTCATTTGGTTTTAGGAGCTAAGATTCATTGGTGTCGAACCAACCGTGTTCACCGAGTACTATGCATTTATCGTACCTTTCAAATGTTATTTGTAGACGTAAGGCATAAAAAGAATGAAAAATTCAACTGCTCTTTTTTCATTGCCTAAATATTTGAGCAGAATTATGCTTCTGTTAATCGCTTTCCCTCGTTTAATAAAAATTAATGCTACGTTGTTAACCTCGATGTGTAGCTCGGGAAGCTTTTTTTGTTGTTCACCAAAAAACCGAACAAATCTTTTCCCATTTTCAGAAATTCTTTTTACGGAGGGTTTCATCACAGTAGACGTTGGTAAAGGCAGCAGTCTGAGGCCTTTTGAACGCGCGCTCTTCAGTCTGGTGCCGAAACCATCTGCTCCAGGTGAGGCACCCTCGGAGGAGATGGCACAGCGTCTACTGAAGTATGCTGTGCACTGGAACACTCGGGCGCGCACATGTCTGGTGGCTCAACGTGTACTCAATTGGGTTGTTTCCAATTGGGCACCCGAACGACTGCTTAGGTGGCCAGGTATTGGTCATGCTGTTGCTGCTTTCATCCCCTATACTGGTGAGTTACTCACGCGTTTCTTTTTTGTGGAATGCTTTGAAATTGCTCATAGAATGCAAAGCTGGTGGGTTGCTCTCATTGTTCGCCCTTTATTCGGGTATTTTAAGGCATATTTGCAGGCCGCTGTGTCACTACTAGCGCACTAGCTGTGAGCTGCAAATGGAAGATGTCTTCGAACTGATGTGACAATGCCATTTGAGAGTTGTTGACATTTAGAAATTCCGCCTTCCGGTCACTTTGAAAAGCAGGCATGTTTGGCAACTATGGCATCTTCACATTCTAGCTTCTGGGTGGTTTGCTTTTTCATCAGGCGGATCTGAGAAATCACGAGACTTAGCCAGAGTTCCATCCGCCTATAGAGTTATTAATCCATCCACCCAATTTGGCTTTGAAGAGAAAGCAAGCTGTCGCATTCTGTTGATTGTGATGCTTTTCGAACCAGCCATGGACGGGAATGCTTTATCCTAAATTGCAAGTGTGGATGAAGCTATCGCTTTACCAACTCCTTATTTCCTTTTCCGGATTGCGCCGGTAAATTTTCTCTTCATATTTTTTAAAATCTGTGGTTTGAGTTCTGCGTTTTAGTTTTGTGGGAAGTGATCATTATGTGGGCAGTCAAATATGAGTGATTTGCGCCAGGGTAACTGTTTTTAAATTCGTTAGTCACTTTCTCATTCCTTCTTTCGCCCATTTTAAGAATGCAATATTAGTTTATTCTGTAGTTGCTCGTACAAAAGTTAAACAAATACGTTGGGATTGTAAGGTTTAATCCATAGGATCGTATTCAAGACGTATCAAAGGTGTTTTACAAAGCCTTAGTTCTCCTTCAAGATGCTTTATTATAAACGTCCAGGAAGGCTGGGAACCTATGGGCCTAGGTGATATGAGCAGAGCGGGCTTTGAGCACATCGAAAAATACCTGTTGGCGGCACTCACAACTCATCAAACAGTTCTAGTAGACCCGCAAGCTAACCAAACCGAAATTCGTCATGTTCGTTTATTGTGTTTCACTTCTACCTTTGTTTTTTTTCGAAAAAATTTGTTTCAAAGGTTAAGCGAACTAAATTCTTTGAGTCATTAATAGGAATCTCTTTAAAATGTTTCCATTAAAGTCGGCAAAATTCTTTTTCAAATGGTGGCAGGTTCTTCGTTCTCGTTTTTTGGAGCGATATCATACAGTACAAATTCCTGTCGATCACCTTATCTCCCCTGTGAATTGTGATTCCCTATTCAAAACGCCTTTCTGAAGTTTTATATCCTTCCAATGACATTAGTGTGGTGCTATTTTCTTTTTTAAATAAAACTTACTTCTTTGAATTGTTTCATAGTAAACTGAGAGCTTTATGTGAGTATCCTAGGTCTGTTGTCCGCACGTCAGTTTGGTTTTTCATTTGAGGAAGTATTTACCATTCAGCGCGCTTCGAATGATACCTGTACTGTATATGGTGCCTAGTTTGTGTTTAATTGTCGTTTAAAATTCCTTTACAGCTCGGCACTATCAACGTCTTGGCCGTCTGGAAGAGCAGATGGCCGTCATGGATTATCTTTTTGATACTTCTTGTCATAGCCGAATTACAGAGGGTAACAAGTCCCTAGAAAATGGGCTCCAATTGCCGTCTGAACAGTCGGTGGGTGTGACGTGAGTTTGACGTTGATGTAGTTTTCAAGCCATGAGTATCACAGATCACTTGAAACCTACCACTCATAGTTGTTTGCTGCTTCTGCACGTTCATTCTCTTGATGCGTCGTTGTTAAGCATTTGAGGTCAATGTCATTGCTTCACCCATACGTCTATTCTCTTTAATTGGTTTTGTTGTTTAGTGGATCATAGTCCTGCGTTGGTTGCAAAATTGAAAGTTTATCCGTTTGTTTACTGTTTGAATGGTCAATCGTATTTGTTTATTCCCTATTCCTTGCTGTTTACCTTGCTCAGTCACTTTTTGTCTCATTTGTAGAATGGAACTGGATGATTTGGAATCATCTGCATGAAAATGTATGCCTATGCTAAATAAAGCAGTAAATTTATGAAACTTTATTTAGTCCTAGACTATTCGAGTTTTTGCTGTCTCTTTTGTGTGAGTGATCCAATCAAAAGGTTTCTAATGTCTCTACCGAGAGGACAGAGTAAGCGGATTGTTGACCTGCCAAAAGATGTAGTGCATTCGTCGATACAACGCGCTAAACGACTTGTTGAAAGTTGTAAGAACCTTGAAAATACATGCGTCTGTTCAGAGAGCGCCTCAGTCTATCAGCGCAAAATTTTGTCTCTTATCGTATTTCAAAGCCTTTAGGTCATAACGTGTCATTTAAGACTGGATTGTGCGAGTTGAGCTTGTCTAAAAGTTGAGTTTAGATTTGCTCTATAGTTGAAGCAATTTTACTGCAAAGCATCTGGAGGAGGTGAAGCATGTGGCAGCAGAAGGTAACTCTTAGAAATGCCTTAAATATTCTAATCTTGGTGACAAGCCACTCAAAGGTAGATACATCACGTTCAGGAGGACTCCATTCTCTGCAATATAAGATTATGCGGCTATATCGGTACTTTAGAGATTGGCGATTCAGTGTATGCAAACTTTCAGTCATGTTCAGCATGAAGACAAAATTGTCTACACTTATACCAACTGGGAGAGGGTCGTGGAAATTGATGAGTCCCCACAGCAATAGTAATATTTTCACTGCCTTCACCCTGTAAAGCCACTGTGTTTTCGGTTTTGTGACTATTGAATGCGCCATTGTTTTTACCCAAATGACCTGTTCACTACTGCACACCTCTGAAAAAGCACTTTAGACACAAAGCCACCGCCGTTTCCCGTATAGTGATCCAGACGCGATTGTTAACTTATTGGAGAGCAACCAATCGCAGCTAAGATCAACCTACTCGAAGCAGCTCGAAAGAATAATTTCTTATGAAACAGCCAAGACTGGTTAATAGAAGGGGAAGTACTATTCTTCTCCTCGCAGAAATCCCCGCTACCCAGAATTGATCTGTGAAAAGATTTATTTATAGTTGCGAATTTACAATGACCGTTTGGAGGTGAGGTCACTACTAGTTCTATAATGTGGTTTGAACAACAATGGACTCTTGTTTGTTTTTCAAAAAAGTGCTAAATTTAATTCGACGGCTTTTGCAATCGGTGCTAAATTGTGGGTGGCCGCTCAGGGGGAGAGTCATGTATGATAGGGCCTTTAAGACACGTATGAATGAGTAAAGGAAACTTTTAGGTGATTTAGTATTTGTTGGAGCGTTTGAGTTTTTCGGTTGACATCACCAGAGGCCAATATTCAGTACCTAGTCAATGACGGCATTACGTCTCTTCCCATTCTAAATGTAGCTTTTGATCGCAGGATTCACATATTCACAGTAATCAACAAAACTTTGTGGATGGAAAATCCAGGATTTTGAGCGAGGCTTAAGTAGAAATATCATTAATAGAAAAATATTAGGTATGAGGGACTTAAAGTTTAAAATTGAAGCTCAGTAACAGCGCCTGTACAAGGATGACGCTACCGGCAACGCCTCCTACACCGCCCTCATGGGCTGGTTAAAGTGGGAAGATTGTCACGCCAGAAGGAGAAGTCAGAGTACTCCACGCTGCCTGACAATATCTGTTGGTCAGATGGGAACACCAAATCAGTCATCTCGCAGAGGGCAGTGTAGCCAGTGGGCAGTTTAATACCGGTGGGTGTCTCGATAACCCCTTCAGGATTCACGATAAATATATGTGAATCGGGAATCCCGATTGCTCGATAGGTCTCCACGTCGCTAGTGCGGTTTCCAAAACCCGCAAAGAATGGACAAGGCGCCTTGGGATTCTGGTGACGGAAGAGCTCACCTAGTCGCTTCAGATTGGAGATTTTCAGGACTTGGGGACGTTTCTGTATAATCTCCCTGCAAAAGGAAAAGATAGACGCAATTAAAGTGACTTGTCTTCAGTTTTTGCTTATTTCCAATCAGCCTCCACAATTCAGGAGCGGACAGGCGATTGCACTAGGTTTCTGGGTCGTCTGATTATTAACACGCCTAGTCATGACGCCAAAGTTGGTGGCTTGTCGTTAAGTTTTTACAGCGACCTGAATGCAGACCGCCTGCAAGACATGGATGTAGTGAAGTTGAAGGTTTTAATCGGGTATTTTTCAGATGTTAACTTAGTAGACAAATCTTTATGTGCTTAATTTATCAGTCTTCGGGGACAAGAATACCTTTATCAAGACTAACTACACTTAGAATGGCATCTTGAGCGAAGAATAATTCAACTAAAGTGATAATAAGAAGGCTCCTGTTTCGACATAGCCACTGCTAGAAGGACTCTTGGAATTAATGTATCTGATCTTTTACAGATAAATAATGCAAGCATTGCAAGAATTTTGGGTTCGCTCAAACTTTCTTACTATTTTTCCCGTAATTAAAAAAGCAGGAAAAGAACTGCAATGCAATTTACCACCAATTATCTGTATATCATGGGGGCGGCCTATAAAGACTGGCAATTTAAGCGGTGTTGTTGTTACAAAGAATGTGAGAATGTAGATGGTATCACCAAATAACAACACAAAAATGCATACTTTTCGTCGTCTGAAAGACTGATTGTTCATCAACCATCTTGCAATGACGTGCCAATAATCTGGGATGGTGCCTGTGGCGTCACCAGTAAGGTCTCACCATTGAGTACGACAACTTACTCCCACTAGCTTTAACGCACGACAGGAATGCGATGCGTAGTCAGACAGCAAGAACAATTCAGCTAGAGAGCCCGCGTTTATTCTTGTTTTTCATGACTCTTGTGCCATGGTTGTTAACTTAGCCTTCTGAGTGATTCACTTTTGCAGGACAATTTTGGTGTCAATCAGTAATTGGAAAAAAACAAAAATATGTGAAAAAGGGAACAGTGCCACGCTACAATTACTGCTAGAGAAATTGTAGTAGAATAAGGAGTTACGATTGACATCAAGCAAACATACATTTGGATGGTGGTGATCAGTGAATTTGGAGATAGAATGATAGGCCCAGCGGGCAGTTTCTCATTGTCCTGTTCCAATCCCTCAAGAAAGTTTCTTGTAGGATTCGCTTGACCTATGGATCGTGCAGAAAGGTACATCAGACGATATCCATTCTCAGATATCTTCTTGTAGAGTTGAATCACCCCTGGATGTGTCCACTCCAAACCCACCCAATGCAGGACGTGACCTAACAGGTCAGACCTTCAGCAGTAGTAATCAAGGGTGACAGTCTAGAATGCTTTTTGTCACAATGTGGTTTGATGGATAAACTTGCCTACGTACTTAGTAATAGTACCGTCAATGTCGGAGATGACAACTTTGTCAGTGGAGTTCCACACGTATATAAGGCAATAGCAAGTGCATGTGCCCTGGTATTTGTTGATTGTAGTGAATACTGCCTCGTTGGTTCCGTCGCTAAGGCCCAATCTTTTCTACAGTTCAGAAAAGTGCATTAATTGAAAAGCGTTTGGTGCTATCGCCAGTGATAATGTCACTTTGAATCCTAGTTGTAATTGGCGTTTATGTCGGAGAAGGATAAGGATTAGGTGTTTAAGGAGAGGCTAATAAATGCCAGTATCGAAAAAGACAAACATTTAAACTAAAAAAAACCTAATGGTGAATAAGGCTTACAATAGCCTCGGATGAAAGCTTAAAGGCTCGAGTATTGTACGCCTGTCCCCATTGACAATGGAGACGCCAATTGAAACGATCATCTAAGCGACCTTCCTCCTCCTCATAGTTTTTCGGTGAATGGCCATCAGAAAAGTAGGCCAATTCATTGGAACTTGGAGATTGTGGAGGCGTTGCTGGTAAAGACGAAGGGTGATTGCCTCTAGGGGTCAACAAAAACAAAAAAATATAGTGCCTGCTTTTGCAGTTTTTTGCAAAAACAACATGCTAGTGGCATGAAATTGCGCGTAACACCTAAGAAAATTACAGCTACTCTGTACGTTTATAACTCGATTACTCCCAGCCTCATGTCCTGAGCGGCCGTCAGGAGAAACTCGGGTGCCACACCGGTAGTAGTGTAGCAAGATTAGCCTAACACCTTATTCCTAGCTGATACCTCCATAAAGCATTGCATTTAATTATGTGATTTGGTTGCCGTGCAAAAAGTATACAAAGACGCGATTTGTCATGCATGGCTGGATCAAAGGAATTACAGTGGAGGAAATGTAAACCCAAAGTCAAACAACCTTTACCTTACGGGTTCTGTATCATGACCAGTGTGACGGGGGCAGAATTAAATGAGTTGAAAACATTCGTAAAAGAGTCGTTTAAAATGCAAATACGAAAGGGTAAACAATGAGTACAATTAAAAAACACGACATTTACCTGAATTGCAAAAAGCCAAGAACAATCAAGATGGACATATGGAATGAAATCAGTACATAGGTTTGAGGCAATACATTGCATCGTGTAATACATTAAGTAGTACCAATTTTGGGCAAATACTCTCACGAAATAGATCAGCGTATGTAGTATGCTCGCAGCTAAGCTCACCGAAGTTTTTGATATGGACCACATTAGGTGGACTTAGAAGCATTGCCGACGGTGCTTTAATTTCAAGTGAATGGATCTGTGATGGTCAACACGAAAACGTAATTAGCGGCACTTGTTACTAATAAACTAATGTATTAAACAAGACTTGTCAATCTTCTTCCAATTAGGCTTTACGCTGTTCATATGATCGCTACACGGTAGATTTGAACTGACGGCATTTCAAGTAAACGCGAGTTTTAAATCCTTGTATCAATATTCATTTCATTGTGCCGAAGTAACGCTCTTCTAATAAGATGTCGGCGTTTTCAATGAGCTCGATCATACCTTTCAAAAGTGTTACAAAACTTACGCTAAAATTTTCACCGAATAACATCCAAAACTTCCGACGGGTTAATTTAAATTGAGTACTGGACAGTTCACCAGTAAAGCGAAAGTTGTGATGTAAAATGCCATGGTGAGTATGTTGCATTCACACTTAAATCAAAAATTCAAAAAGAAAACAAGACACTTCCATTAGTCTACTAATACACGACTTTGTAAAAACAAACTTTGCACATGTTGGCCCAACTCCACCAAGAGCATCACAGTACCGGAAGGCTAAATTTACCCAAAGCTGACCCGGAGATCCTCGTGTGGGTCATCCTCATCCTCATGCGATGATGACTTGAATGGATCAAATGAGCAAGGCTTTAAAACAGCCTCGGAGCTCTCCGATTGATCCAGTTCAAATTGTGTTCCCTCTTGCTCTTTATCCTCCGACAGCGAGGGTAGAGAACTGGGAAGCAAAACGAAGGCCGGGTTTTCTCGATCCACTTCCATCAATTTTGATTGCAACGCCTCAAAGTACTGTAAAATAGAATCACCTGAGAGTGGATAGGTGTGGTGAGGTATGGATCATGTGATGTAAAGTAGTTCATGTGTAAGTTTAAAGTCTTTTTGTTGAGATTACAAATACGATTTACTGTAAAAGGCTAAATTTGTCACTAATGCGATTGGTAGTTTAGGTTTTCTGGATCGCCTCTAAGTCGCTGGGTTAAACACCATATTACATTTACCTTTCAAAGTTTGAAACGCAGCGTATCCTAAAGCCTAGAGGTTGGCACAATGAAATGAGAGACTTTTGCAAAAAGTAACATTGCTGCCATTTAAAAGGTTGAATTTCTTCTCTTAGGCAGACAAAAAACGGTGATAAAACGAAGGAGAAAAAGTGCCTTATTAGTATGTAGGTTTTTTATCGAGACATCCATGCACTAATAAATTTGTAAACAAAGGATGGACATTTAAAAAGTGGATAATAGATGCTACCGAGGGTAGAGGATTGCCAAGGTTGCGTAAGAAGCGAAGTTTTATGTTAGCCGTTCTCCAGGAGTACCACCTATTCTCCCAGTACACCCAGACACTGTCGTTGACTGATTGTGAATTTGGATCAGCAGCCTTACTTTGCTCATCAGTGAGTCGGTAGGTTTGAATTTTAACAGAGTGTTTGGCTATGTTGTCCTGATTCCACCAAAGCATGTTTGATTCGAATTCACTGCAACGGAGCACGAGGAGCAGAGTGAGTATATAAAAGGGTAAAAAATAGAGGACACTTAAAAATGACCCGAATAAATAACCATCAGTTAAGTACTTCATTTAATAAATAGGTATCCAAATGGGTCAAATCACGACTTAAAAGTTATTATTATTAAAAACAAAAAGGGTTTTTACTTTCATTGTCATGCAGTTGAGAAAGGGTCACAGGCAAGTGCGACCTTTACCTGCGCAAGAGCACAGGTTGGTCAGCGTGTTTGGTGAGCTGATTGAATCACTACGATTAATGCAAATTACTATTCATGGAGGGTGTAGGAATTGGCTATTAGTGGCACCAATCAGTCATTAACGAAAAACTCAATGAACGAAAGATAATTTTAAGGTTACTCTACTTTGGTAAAAAAATTCCCTCTGCCTAGATTTCACGATTATACCTTCAAGGCACAAGTGCGGTAGTTTCATATTTTAAGTAGAAAAGTCCATTCGATCCCACTTCAATTTGAGTATTATTGAAGAAATATGAAAGACACGAAAATTCAAGGCATCTTACCAAAAGAGAGCCATTAACAGAATGGTGCCATACGAAATGCAGAGGACGTAGATACGCACTTGGAGCTCTTAATGAACTTTGGATTACAACAATACATCCAAACTGTTTGCATAGAAGGAAGATGGAGACACGAAAATCGCCAGTAGGAATAAACACATCCGTTAATTAGTGTGTGTATGTGTGAGAGAGAGAAAAACAGTGCCTTTGCTATCAAGATCCAATTGAAAGCATGAGGGGAAGAAGTTGGTCAACAGAAAAAGTGAAACTGAGGACTAGCTAGTCCGACGAATGGATGCGATCGCAAAACAATAACAGGTAACGCCCTACACACAGCATGTACTAACGACAAAATGATTTTACAGACATCAAGTGACAATTATGTGGCTGGCACATGTTTAAGAGTGTACGCCATCGTGTCAAATGCGCAGACAGGCACCATAAAAGTCTGATTAGAACAAAAAAGTGATCTCAACAGTGGAGCCATTTAACTATCACGAATTTGTTTACGTTGGTGCATGCAAAACTTCGGATATACCATTAAATGGGCTATCTGCTTTTCAAGTCACCAACCACAACAGGTAAGTTGAAACGATTGATGCTAAAGTTCTTTGGCTCGTCAAATGAAGATGAGTACTTTGGATCGGATTTTAGAATGAGGATAATATAAATCAACGGTTTTGCTCTGAATTGCTGATTAGCCTCGCAGCAGTGGATCAGAGAAATGGTGCCAATACTCGACCTTACGAATCCTAGAGTAGAAAGGACTAGGATGCCCCGTAGTTCACTTGACATCAAGGTCCAAAACAAAATGAATGTGAATGAAAAAGATAATTGGAAAATACTCACCTGAAGTCAGCGCTCTGAAGAAAGGATGAGACTGATTGAAGAAGATCCTGTTTGTCATCTGAGGTGGGGGAATTTGACTGAGGAGTTTTGCTTGCTTTATCCAAAGGTAAAGGAGAGCAGCACGTCTCAGAGTTTGGAGGACTCTTACCAGAGTGAAAATCTGTTTGAACAAAACAAATACAATGAGGCGTAAAGTGGGGCCAATTAAGAACCACTAATTGAAATAATGCCTTGCTATTATTTTTGCTTATTCCAAAGTCATAATTGGTTTAAAGAAGAATGCTGCCCCATGCTAGTGCAAATTACTCATTTGTTTGCTTGAACCTTGGAAGAACACAAGTTTCATCGTCAAATTCTCATTGGTTCCTTGGATAACTGGACTAAAGGATGCGGAGGGATGTTGCAATTCCTATCATTAATTCGTGAAGCATTAAAAGTAGTCAATAAGGTGTACTGCATTTTAAGCAAAAAAATTTGGCATGTTTATTTATTTTAGGTCTAACAAACTTGCCCAATTGGATTCCAGAATCAATGTTCGGAGAGCGTGGCCTTGATTCATCGTCCGGTGCATTCTGGTACTAAAGAAGTTAGTTAAAATTGCGAAAATATACTCAATCAGTCCCTCGATAACATTAACAGTTAGTAAATATTTCAAGCTTGTGAATTTGAAGAGCAAATATTCAGGAGGAAAAAAAATTACGTAAGACCGAACAAAATCCATGAGAACCCCTCGGATGACCTGGGCGCAAGTGCTAAATTTTCCGAGTCTTAACGCCTGAGCCCTAGCGTACTGATATACACTTAAACGTAAAGCTGTTGAAATCTCAAGTTGTAGGGGTCTCGTCAAACCATTTCCGCCTTTTTATTTTTGATTACTAAGCTGACGGTACGTCACTCGGTGATTCGTGTTTTCTGTGTGGGCCTAGCCTCCGAGCCTGACCAAAAAGGCTCGCGTCGCAGGTGTAACAGAGAGGGGCTTTTTGAACAAGAAGTTTACTAAAGATTGGTGCGGAAACTCACTGGATCATCAAAATACGCTTGACCAAACCTGTTCACACGCATGTGAAGATCCGTGCGTAGGACTCCATTGATCATTACTTCCACCTGTGGAAGAGGGGAAAATTCGGGTTATTCGTCTGTGGGCAACATTTCCCTGATGGATTTCACACGTATTTCAATAAATAAGTCTTAAGCACTGTGACTATTTTATAATCCCGCAAGTTTGTTTAGAATCTATGGTGTTAGGAACATTAATACATTTTTCTAAAAATTCGGTCCATTTAATACAAAACTACACGAGCCAACTTCATTACTTTATTTGTTTAAGCTACCATGTGAAGGGTGCATTTGTCAAAGTATTCAAATGAGTGGATCTGCCGAAAATATTATTAATGATACAATTTGTAACATCGGATATTTACGAGTGTGTCGACTTTCCAAATTCGCATCCGACAAAGTCTGATACGCAAAACATTATGCCTTGATTGGTATAAAGATGCTTTTCTCATAAAATAAAGGGCATTTTACGAAAGATATTAATAAGATGTATCTGAATTTGGTGTAAATTGAAAAACGTAGTCCTTTTTCGACCAAAGGGGACATGATAAAAGTCGCGCTTACCTCATCTGCGCACGGTCGAAAGACCCCAGTCTTTCCAAATTGTACATAAAAAGGCGAACTAACAAGTTCACCATTGGGGTATCTGACAACTATAACATCAATAGCTCCACTAAGGGTAGCGCTATTGATGTCACTATACATCCGTTTCGCTGACGAAAAAAATCGCTCAATGTACTGCATTTTCACGCCACTCCGAATCGCATAAACATATACACACATGCATACACACACATGCACACATGCAGAGAAAGAGACGGCTACAAATGCATTTAAATAGCAAGTCGTGACGGCAGTGATTGAAGGCAGCCACTAGGGTACGTGCTCCTCTCCCATTGGTGCGTTTACGACTAACTTCAAGGTCGTAGCAATGGTTATGGTGCGACTGTGGCCTTATAGGTCCGGGGGTTGGGTGCGTTGGTTCGCCTCACGTCAAAATGGGGAGAACGCTTGCATTACTACCGTCTCTTTTATTTGTTTTTTATTTTTTTGATTTTCCACAAAATGATATTTTGTGACTGCTGAAGTATATTCGATCGTCCTGCACCTGTCGCCATTTCTCGAGTTAATCAACTGGAGGTCGTGTGGAAGCGCAACTTCGTTAATTTTGCTCAGATTTGTAACTAATTTTTAGATCCCAGGGTTTAATTTTAACTTTGTGGGCTGACATTTGTTCTTCTATTACTATTTTTTGGTTTTCATAAAACGGTGAATAAATTGGGTAGTGATTATATCACTAAACTAGTACATTGGAGACAGTTTAAAAAGCGAATCAGGAAGTATCTGAGGGAGGCAAATTATTTTCGTTGGTGATTTAAGAAGTCGCGTTCTGATTACTTATATCACCAGATGGTGTAACATAAGATAAGCTAAATGATGATTGTAGCATCCGAGGCGTAGTTTCATCAGGAAAATAGGCAACTTTTTGCACTGAAGTAAAACAATACTTGTTTTTACTACTTAGTTAAGCAGTTTCATGACGTGTCCTCCAAATTCATGGCCTCGCTACTCATCTTCGGGTTAAAAATTAAACTCCTATTAAAGATATTCTTTACCATGGTTTTGGGAATATTTCCAGCGTAACGTTAGTGGCAGCGGTGGGCGAGTCTGGTCTAAATGAATAATCGCTATTTCGTTGGCTGCATCACACACAATTGAAAGTCAAAGAAAGAAGGTGTCTCTGGAAATGGCTGAATTTGTGGTGGCTATTGATACCCCAGTTAATGTTTTCCCACCTTTTCCGCTTAGCATAATTAAAGATACCTCCTTATAAAATGCCCGTGATTTAACTATGAACACGTTAAAGACATGTTACTTCCTCCCTTGGGGCTGCCATTTAGACAGGTGCCTCTACTGAAAGCCGCCAGGATACAGATTAGGGTTGCTATGGGACATCCTCCAGTTTTAGCACCAATTCTTGTATGAGATCCTCCTCTGTGCAGCTCACCCCTCAAATGTCGTCATACTCGAAAATCCCAACTAAAATTACAGCATTTACTATCATCGTACCATCTTCGTTTCCGTCTTGGGGTGTATCGCACCTCACTCTGCGAATTCCGGTTCCCAAAGTAGAAAAGTAACCATCAGGTGCTTTAGGGATAGCTGTTAAGAGAAAAACAGGGTTTGATGTTAAAGTGATAGATGAAATGGCAAACGACTTCAAAGCAAGCTACTTTTCAATGTTCCGAAATAACCACGAATCGTGCAATTTGTATTACCTCACTATTAAGTGTTGGAAATTCTGTTTCTGAACCTAATATTGCTAAGAGAAGCGTGTTTCTGGTCAGGGATCATCCGTTCAAGCTCTATGATACGTAGTTAATTTCTCAAATCTAGCACTGCGTATTCCAACAAGACGCTAGAAATCCTAGTAGGTACCGAAATGGTGCGGGAGATGCATCGTGGCACTACTCGACTGACCACATGACAATGGCAACACCCAATGAAATGGGAGCACAATCTGAATAGCTTATTCAGATTAACCCTTACTGCACCGAAGTAATCTTAAGCAGATAAATGGCATTAGTTCTAGTAACTTCAGCCTACTCGTATTTGTCATGGGTATTGCTCCTTTTCAAATCCATCGGCCTTGAGTTTTATTAAGGAAGTATTCTAATGATGCTGACTTGATGTAATACAAGACGCCCTGTTTCCGCAACATTAATTTTGCCTTTTTTAAAAAAGTCATAACTTTAGATGTCGTTATTATATCTGTGCTGCATTCACCGCATTTACGTGGGGTAAGGACATCTAAAATCTTAATAATTTGCCAGGTCAGAGTACTTAAAATAGCGAAGCGTAAGTTGTGTCAGCACTCTGACAGTCAGTCTTAACAGTCGATAAAATAAAGCAGGGAGTATTTTATATGATTGTAAGTACAAACTCTCATATTTGAAATCATTTTAAGCAGTTGTAAAGGACGAGTTTGGCTGTACTGCTGTTTGTTAATTAGTGCACAATGCCACTCTCCGAATGATCGCCAATCTAACTAGGATATTTTGCTCTCGTACGCCCCGTATGCTCCTTAAAACAACAAAACAATACATTTCCTGCATAAGCGCACTGTGATTCCAACAGAACAAATGCCAAGCTATAACAATAGCAATACCCTAAATTGTAAGAAAACCGCAAATCCCCCAGTTTTGCTCAATTCGGTTCCCACCTCGATGACATGATGAGTTCCTTCGAACATCGAAAAGAGTGCCCCGTTCAGAAGCACACAAACTGTGGCATATTCAGGGAAGACACAGACGTTGAAAGCAGTGATCAACCTGACTCGGGGCCGTTACGACAACACCCCAAATCAACACTTATCCCCGTTTTAAACATCTGATACACTTACAGATCAAACTAGCAACCGACCTGAACAGGAGGCTTCCAAGGTAAACACCGAAATTCCGTCAGAAAATAACCCACCACCGCAGCACTGAGTTTTTGCAGAACACTCTGACGGGTGAAGACGACTAAAGACCCGAGAACCAAAAACCAACCGTCACTCCGTAGAATCCCAAAAAACCCTCAAGGCAGTACTGTCAAATATGACAAATCAGAACGTCCGGGTCATACACGTCGCGATGTACGAATTAGGTTGTGATGAGATCCAAATTTTACCAGTGCAGAAGGAAAACCCCCATAAAACTGTGCGGCAGAAGCAATGTGTGACTTACCTCACCATTTTCGTCTGCATCTGAACAAACAGAACACAGAAAACGAGTAGATTTATTTATAATAAAGTTCCAAATTCATCCCATCCTTGATTTCGTAATCCGCCAATGTGACAGGATCCTTGTAAACGTTATACCACTTTTTGAGAATGATCCGATCCCACTTCGTTCCTGTTTGGGCGGCTATCAGCTTCTTCAAATCCGCAATGGTGTCAGTGGGGTTGCACTTTACCCGCACCTTCTTCCCCAGACGATCGTTTGCTGTTATCTCAATCATTCTAAAATGAATTAACTCAGTTGTGAAGACCATATTAAGCCTTCAATAAGCATTCGTAAAACACCCTGGAATGTAGAGACATGCCTCAACAAATTGGAATTCCATCACAAACAATTCAAGGGCGTAATACAAACAATCACAGACACGCACACACCAAAGACTGAACCAAGCCTCAATGGAACGGAATACATGCTGATAAACGTATGCTTCAATATATGTAAGGGGAACGTTATTGCGAGAGATCGGATCCTGCCAAATAGACCTGATAATCAAAAGATCACTCGGTATGCAAAGGCGCAAGAAAACAACAACAACCACAAATGGGCCTGAATAAAAACTCTGCTCCAACTTTAGGGAGGAGAGGGCGGTACCAGAGGTGTTTGCCTTTTGAAATTCTACAAGACAACTGTAAAATCAACAAAATACAGGTGGAAATAGGTACATATTGCCCGTCTTAATTGCATATTTTCGGCACGGATGATTCTACTTCCTGTACACTAGATGTAGCTCCTTTTAAGAGGTCAGCAAGAAATTTTTACACTTTTAATGACAAAAGTTTAGTCAGAACAAATCGAAACCTATGTAAAAATGACCCAGCTCACGCACGCCAATAAAACTACTCGAGCAGTAGACAGGCTAAGGGGTCACTGCATAACACGCAGAAAACAAGCTTAAATAGGCGACACAGCGGTAAAAGATCTAAACAAAGTGAACAATTTACCACCTGGTTCTTTGCAGCCACCCAAAATTTTGATATCAAAGTAGTAAAAAAATGCGCATAGTGTATTCATGATGCATATAATTTTTCACATTCTTAAAGAAGGCAAAACAAGAGCTGAAAGGGAAAGCGATAAATAACCTAAAAATTTCTCAGGAAATTGCACTGAATAGAGATTAAAAATGTAAAACGTATGCACCCGTAGAGTTCTACAAAGCAGCCCGGAAACTTGTAGAAATGATGAGCAATTCAAAGACTTGCTACTAACGCCCAAGAGAAGAATTAAAATGGAAAATAAAAAGCATAGAAGTTACTGCCTCCTCTTAATTAACTTTTTTATTCTAGCCAATTGTTAGAAGTGTTAGAGATTAACCTTTCTATAACGCTGCTACAAGACCCATGGGCTTAAATAGAAAAATGCATAGAAAAGTGCAATACGATGGTGGTTTATCCCTCGGTATTAGTGGAGCGCCACTTCTGCACTCCTAACTAGCGTTCTCGTACCTCGCTGGGTGTGCTGGCCTCTGGCCCACGGCAGCAGAGCAAACACCTTCCCTGGGCTGAATACATATTCTGCCCCAGTGTTGTGTCCTCTTTTGTCTTCAGGGAAGTCTCGGGATGCTACATTGGTAGCAGCGGAAAGCGAATCCTATCTTAAAAGACATGTATCCTAG